ACTTGGATGGACTCAGAGTCTATAACACTCAGTGATCTATCACAGAAAAAAAGAACTGAATACCACATGTTCTCACTCATAAGACGACCCTGAACATTTACTATAATACTGTAAGAAAGGGATTGGCAGTAGTGGGATACTGCCAGGGGAGGGGGGAGGGGCAGAACATCGATGAGAGTATATGATCTCAAACCAGGCAAAGTGGGGACCAAAGGAAGGCCCCAACTTTACCTGTATAATGACTACATGTATACCTAATCCTGAATTGCACCCCACATCTTTAAAATAAAATAAAGAAAAAAGAAAAATCATGAAAAACAAAAAAGCTTGTAAGCCTAGATGTGCATTATCAGTTTGCCTCCAGCTTGGATCCATTTAAGCTCTGTTAAGAGTACATGACACTCCTCTCTAGGTGTTTCTAGTGCAGTGTCATCAACTGACATCATACAAAACACAAAACCATCAATTACCATTTGAACATCTGATGCCCTCACTTGCTACTGTCCTCTCATTTGGGCCAATGTCTTTGTCTCATACATTACTGAGAGGGAGAGTCATCAGATAGGAAATCTCTGGTCTAATTCATGAAGGCCCTGGCCCTTAGAAGGATCTTTCCTGTTGAAATCGAGGCTGGTCCCATGGTCTCTGGATCCTATCTCATCCTGGCTTCTGAAAGGTGGAGCCTTACAGGCAGCCTGTCTCGTGCATCCTCAACAGTTTTCTTTTTGTGACTCCTCCCCTTGGGCACATACGCATTTCCTGTCATCTCCAACTGTAGGTAACACCCCCCTGTGAGCCCCCGAGATCCTTCCAGCATTCATGCTGCTCTTACACTCACCTATAGAGCCTCCCTTTTCTAGCAATTGTTTACATATGCCATGCACACCTTATACTTGCTGGCTTCTATGTAATTTCATCAAAACTTTGCCATCCAGTCTCGTTAACTCCTAACTAAGCCTCAGTGGTGGCCATGATGGCGGCCACACCCTGTCTGGGCCCTCCTGTCTCTCAGGCCCTGTGTTGCCAACCATGCTTGGAGTTCTCTGTCTTACTTGCCCACATGTGACTTCCTTCACTGACTCCTCTCCATCCTTCTAACAGCTCCATGCTAGAATCCTCTGGGTCTGGTTCACACATTCACTCTTCTCTATATATACTCTTTAACCGGATGATTTCATGGATTTCCTTGGCTTCAAATACAATCTATAAACCAACAATTCTGAAGTTATGGCTTCTGTCCAGAGCACTCTCCTGAAAAGTGCATTTGATTTACTCACTTTAAAATCTCACAAGGGCGCTTTATCTCATCCATGCCAACCCTGGCATGTCTCCCTTTCTTTTCTCCCTTCTTTCTCAAATAAACTTTGTTTTAAAACTTTAAAAAAAAGTCTCAACAAGATATGAAACTTCTCGTTTTTAAAACCAATCTTAGCTGGATGTGGTGGCTCACATCTGTAATCCCAGCAGTTCGGGTTACTGAGGCAAAAGGATCGCCTAATGCCAGGGGTTCAAGACCAGCCCGGGCAACTTGGTAGGACCTCATCTCAAAAATAAATAAAATAACTAGCCCTCTGTGGTGGTTCATGTATGTAGTTGCAGCTACTTGGAAGACTGAGGTAGAAGGATCCTCTTAGTTCAGCAGATCAAGGCTATAGTGTATAGTCAAGCAGGTCAAGGCTATTCTCTATCCTGGACAACAGAGTGAGACTCTAACTCTAAATTAATTAATTAATTAATTAACTAATTAATTTTAAAAACCAGTCTAGAAGGACTCACTCTACCTGATTTCAAGACTTAACACAAATCTATAGCAATCAGGTCAGTGGAGCATTAACGAAGAATATAAAATAGACCAGTGGAATAAACTAGAGTCCAGAAATAAATCCTAACATATATGACCTACCAAATTTTGATAAAGACACTAAGGAAAGTCAACGATGGGAAAAAAAGTCTTTTCAACAAATGGTCTTGAAACAATTGGGCATCCATTTAAAATGAGATGAACCTTAAATCATATAAAAAATTAACTCAAAGTGAATCCTAGACCTAAAAGTAAAACCTGGAATCACAAAACCTCTAGAAACAAACATAGGGAAAAATATGTGTTACCCGAATGAGTTAGAGATTTCTTAGATAGGACACAAAAGGCATAAGCCATAAGAGGAAAAAAAATCGGCAAATGGATTACCAAAATCAAATACTTCTGCTCCTTGAAAGACATTGATAGAAAAATGAAAAGTCAAAAAATAAATTTAAAAATGTGCAAACTACATATCTGATAAAGGACTGGTATCCAGTATATGTAAAGAGCTCTCTCAAATCAATAATAACAAAACAAGAGACTCATTTAAAAAAAAGTTATGAGCTGGGCTCAGTGGCTCAGCCTGTAATCCCGCACATTTGGAAGGCTGAAGTGAGTGAATTGCCTGAGCCTGCAGGTTCGAGACCCGCCTGGGCAGCGAGACCTCATCTCTACAATAAATCTAGAAATCAGCCAGGCGTGGTAGCGCATGCCTGTAATTCCGGCTACTTGGAAGGATGAGGCGGAAGGATCGCCGGAGCCCAGCAGGTCGAGGCTGTGGTGGCTGGAAGCGGCCACTGCACTCCAGTCTGGGTGACAGAGTGAGACTCCAACTCAAAAAAAAAAAAAAAAAGTTATGAACAAAAGAGGTGCAGTGGCAGACACCTGTAATCCCAGCACTTTGGGAGGCCAAGGCTGAAGATTTTACTTGACACCAGGAATTTGAAACCAGCTTGGGCAACACAGAAAGACCCTGTCTCTACATAGAAAAGTAATAATAATTTTTAAAAGAGATATGAACAGACATTTCACCTAAGTGACTATACAGTTGGCAAATAAATACATGAAAACATATTCAAACATCCTTAGTCATTAGAGAAATTCAAATTAAAACCTATGAGATACCATTATAAACATGTTAGAGTGGCTAAACTGTATCTCTTTTAAAAAATCTCACATTATTGAGTCTGGCAAGGATTGGGAGCAACTGGAATTCTCACACGCTGCTGGTAGAAACACACAATGGTACAAGCACTTTGGAAAACTGCATAGCAGTTTTTTATAAATTTACCGTACAACTATCATCCCACTCCTGTATATTTACCCAGGAGAAATAAAAGTATATTCACATAAGAACCTGTACACAAAGGTTTATATCAGTTTTTTCTCAAAATTGAAGAAAACTAGGAACATTCCAAAAGTCCCTCTCTGGAGAGTGGATAGATTGTGTTGCACGCATACAACGGCTTACTGCTCGGCAGTAAAAAGTTCTGATTTTCTGGTTCATGCAGCCACGTGGATGAATCTCAGATGCATTATGCTAAGAGAAAAACCAGACTCAAAAGGCTAAGTGGTATGTAATTTAATTTACATGATGCTCTGAAAAAGGCAGAACTGTAAGAAGAGAAAACAAGTCAGTGGTTGTCGGGAGTGAGCAGAGGGGAAAAGGATCCATTAGAAAGAGAGTCAGGGGACTTTTTAGAGGATCATGGTGATGGTTTCACCCCCCCAAAAAAGGGTGTTTCACAAAAATAATGAATTTTGACAAGTGAAAATTATCCTTCCATAAACTGACCTTTAAAAAATGGACTTGACTGATCATGCTCTGCATCAGGCATGATGGCTCACACCTGTCATCCCAGCACTTTGGAAGGCAGAAGTGAGAGGATTGCCTGAGCTCAGGGGTTCAAGACCAGCCTGGGTAACTTAGCGAGATCTCATCTCTACAATAAATAAAAGAATTAGCTGGATGTGGTGGAGCATGCCTGTATTTCCAGCTACTAGGAGGGCTGAGTTAGAAGGATTGCCTGAGCCCAGCAGGTTGAGGCTGTGGTGAATGGGATCACGACACAGCACTCCAGCCTGGGTGACAGAGTGAGACTAACTCAAAAAAAAAAAAAAAATCATCCCCACACAGATGTTTCTTCCTGGAGTTTCTTTATCTAAAAAAAAAAAATAAAAAAAAAAAATGGCATCACTATCTACCTACTTCCTAAAACCAGAAACCTGGCCATGACACTTGGAGCTTCCTTTTCCTTTGTGCCCCACCCGCACTCTATCCATCCTCAAATTTCATCAGTTCCGCTTCCAAAATCTACTGCAACCCATCTCCTAATCTTCCCGTCCATGCATGCCCCTGAGTGCCGCCACCTCTTTCTGTCTCCTAACCCACCACAACGGCTTCCTGCGGGTCCTCTTGCTTCTTCCTTGCTCCTGCCAACCATTCTCTATATATGACCTTAAGGGAAAATTAAACCATGTCACCTTACTTGAAACCTTTTAATGGCACTATTTCCAAACACTGTACCTTGGCCCCAGAGGCCCCTTGTGAACCAATGAATCCATGTCACCTTGTGGCGCTTCCTTGTGCCTCCTTTTCTTCACACCCCACCCCACGCCGTGATACCCATCTTCTTCCATTTGTTTAATACTTCAGGATTTTTGCTCTCCTAGCAATTTTGCTCATGCTGTTCTCTATGCCTAAACACCTCTTCCTCTTGGCAACTTTTTTTTTAAATGGCTGGCTTCTTCTTATTCTTAAAATTTCAGCTTACATATTATATCCCTAGGGAAGTCATTACACATATTATAATAGTCCCTTCTCAAGTTCTCTTTCATACCTCCCTGTTTCCTCCCTCAAAGCACTTTCTTTGTTTATAATTACATATTTATGAATTTATTGTGTTGATATGTATCTCCCCTGCTAGAGCATAAGCTCTTTGAGGGTCACAGTTATTTTTTCTTTTTCACTTACTTAGCACATTACCTAATGCAGAATTGCAGCTAAGTAATTATTTGTTAAGTAAATGAGTCAATAATGAAGTTCCTACAATTAAAGCATAATGATAGATTCCATGATCACAGATGAATAACCTAGACTAGCAGAACTCAATATCACCCCAGGTAAGTTGACTTCACTGGGTCTTGAGATCCCCAGTGTGTGAGCAGAGAACAACGTAGGCCACCCAGAAAGGCTTACCTCTCCAGACCAACTGCTTGGCACAGAGAATGGAGCTTGGAGTTGTACAGAAGTGCAACGCTGTGTGTCCACTCAGGGAGTAGCAGTTGAGTTTTGCTCCGCGGTCACAGAGGATCTTCACACACTCCAGGTTGGCCATCTCACAAGCCACATGAAGAGGAGTCTTCCCATTGGGTCTACAGTTGATGGTGGCATTGTGGTCCAGGAGCACCAGGAGACACTCCACGTGGCCAAACAAGACAGAGAGATGCAGGCCTGTTGCCCAGGAGGACTTCAGCTTATAACTAGGCAGCCAATAACCTGAAGAAGAAAAGGAAAGAAAGCTTAACCTCTGGGCCTAGGATTTCTCCCTATCTCATGAAGAGTTTCACAAAGTACTTTATTTTGGTCACATTTATAAAATTGGGAGCAAAATAACTCAGAGGTTTTAGGCTGGTAGCCAACGTGTCTACAAATGTCTTGCTTAATAGCATGTTTCGATGCACTTACATGGGGCAACTTCTCAAGTTCTCACTAGCTCTACTATTCTTACTACTGTATCTTGTTCCTTTATCTACTTTACCTTTCTGGGTCTTGAAGGCATTTGAGCTTGGGAAGTTCATTTATGTGGTTGTATTTTATTTTACACGGTGAGTTACAAGAGACGCTTCAGGAATTTGTTTTTAAACTTCCAATCATTGAGAGTTTGTCTTGAATGATTCCAATGATTCCACACAAAAAATTAACTGGCCAGAAACATAGTTGTGTTCAGAACTGAGATCACAGATACATTTTTCCCACTAGTCACACGCGTGCACGCTCTTTTTATCTCTCTCTCTCCCTCTCTCTCTCTCTCGCCTTTCTCTCTCTGACCTATGACTTACACACTCTGAAAAACTCTAGTTTATTTTCTAGTCTCCAGTGATTTCTACATGTGACAAACTATAACATTGATGACTTGATAGGCCTTCTGATGTCTATACTTGTGACATCAGCATTTATGCCCTCTATCTGTGGGGAATGGAAAGTAAGCACGGAGAGAAGGGCTGGAAGCAGGAGTGCTGATGGCAAGAAGGTGAAGAGGCAGCTCAGCAGTCAGAAGAGACTCAAGGGCTGAGATGATAAAGTAAGACCCCATGGGGATAAAGCAAAAGTTGACTTTCAGCTTAAAAAGTTTCCCCCTACAGGTGAAAGGTAAGCAGAATACTGTTTCACAGTCATTTACTTGAGAAAAATCAAGGGATTTGCATTGACAACAATCTCGAGATGACCCGACAGTGGGAGGGGGCTGCCAAGACACTACTAGCTCAGTCATGAGCTACATTAATAAAGGTGCACACCCAGAGCGAGAGCTGGAGGAGCTGTGTCCTCCACTAGCAAGATGGAGTCGGAGGAAATCTGGGTACCACCCTCGACAAGAAGAGATAGGCAACCTAGGGCATGCTGGGGTGATGGCTTCGAGGGTGTACTACCCTCTACAATAACTTCAGGGCACCACCCTCTCTGAGAAGGGAATGAGCAACCAAAGGCACACTGGTGTTGATGGCCACATCAGACAGCCTGGTAGCAGAACTCAAAAATCTCTCACTTAAGGGAAAAAGCACTGAAGATGTGCTGCTCCCGAGTGTCTACCCTACACGCATGGTCACTCGCATGTGAAGTGTCCTGGAAAACAGCTGAACTGCCCAACTCCAAGGAACACCATCCACACAGTACTCCGTGAAAGGTGCTCCCAGGTGTGTAAATCCAGGCTCCACAGCATCATGCATAATGGCTGAACAGCTGGAAACAACTCCATGCTCATTGCCAGGAGACTGGTTAAGTAAATCATGGTATACCCACACAGTTGAATACCAGACAGTCATTAAAAAGAGTAAGGCAGTTCCAGGTAGAGAAAAAACGCCCCCAGGTGTGCAGTCAGTGCAGCCATGGCCTTGTGTGCAAGAGCCTGAATAGAAGGCAAAGGCAGACTCGCCCCAGCACAAACCCCACAGGAGGTCTCAGACACAGACCATGCCTATGCGATGTCATTCTCTTCACATTTGCCACTTGCCTTCTCCAGACCGTGACACGACACGTAAGCTGTTCACACAATTTTGCCTTCATGATTTCCTGATCATCTGCATGCTAGGAACTTAGGGTGCATCTTGGCAATGCCTCCATTGAACAAGTGAAGGTGACTCATTGGAAGAGGCTGAGTAGCACGTGGTGCTAATGTTTATGGGGCTCGCACTGACTCAGGCCAACTCTAACTCTGTCTCCCCTAATTTCTCATCAGTCACTTGCAAGCTGAGGGCACATGCAGTTCACCTGCAAGCCCATGTCCCATGTAGCTAAGTGTTCACAAGGAAATCTAGAAGTGCTGCCCCTGCAAAGACATGCAGACAAATCCTCTCTGTGTGTTTAATTTAAATCCACAACCAGAAGCAAGGCCGAAGCAGCTAGGTAGATGCCACCCAGCCCAGGAAGCATGACAGGGACTGTGCCATCTTCCAGAAGAGGGGACTGGCTCTGCCCAGCATTTGGCAAGGATGTTCACATGTCTAGAAGGCCACCAGCTAAGCCCGGGCTCTGAGACAGTTACCAATCACAATGTTATCTGTGTTGCAAGAGCCCCACGCCCGAGAAGCCGCTGTTGTCACAGCCAAAGTTTGCACATGCTGCTCGGGGCGGGTTAGCAATCAGTTCCTCTGCCCGTGTCCATGTGTGGACACAGTTCTGAAGGATTATAGGCTGGAGCACAACTCTTGGCAGTTTTTTAAATAGTGAATATTTTCAGGATAACTCTCAAAGTGGTGGGAGGGAAACAAGATTGAAATGTAAAATTTAAAAAAAAAAAGATGGAATGCTGAAGAAAGGAAAAGGAGTCCAGGACAGAGAAAGGAAGGCAGGAGAGTGAATTTCCAGCAAAGAGGAAAGTTCGGTGATAAAGAGATTTGTCATTAGGAGAGTAGAAATAAGTGCTTTCAAGAGACCTGGACAGTAGTTGCTACTTAGTAGACAGAGGACCTGTCAGAAAGTTCTCAAGTGAAATTATCCATTGGTTATTTTAATAAAAAATATGACTGCCAAGCAAAGAACCAGCAGCTGTGGACCATAGATGAGGGACTTGGCTTGCATTACCCTGATTAACAAAAGGACCCTGATGAACCTGCTGGTGAGGGAATTTCAACCAAGGAGATAAGTATGATATGCTGTCCATTTCCTGAATGAGCCAAAGCTCGTGTAGCTGGAGAGAAGCAAAATGCGTAGCTGGAAAAACTTTTGAAAACCATTTTTCTTGTTGTTGTTGTTGTTGTTGTTGTTGTTGTTTGAGTCAGAGTCTCACTCTGTTGCTCAGGCTGGAGTGTAGTGGCATGCTCACAGCCACTGCAGCCTCGGCCTGCTGGGCTCAGGTGATCTTTCTGCCTCAATCTTCCAAGTCGCTGGAACTATAGGTGCATACCACCATGCCCAGCTAATTTTTTTAATTTATTACAGACACAAGATCTCGCCATGTTGCCCAGGCTAATCTTAAACAGGCAATCCTCTCACCTCTGCCTCCCAGGCATGAGCCACCATGCCTGACTGGAATTGGTTTCAAAGGCATTTCTTCATGTACATAGATTGCCGGTGAAAGCTGGTATAAAGGAACTTTGCATGTTCTTTAGAGGTTTCTTTTGCATTTGGTTTCGCCCTAAATACTTCATGCTTGCCTCATAATAAATTTCATATCAGTGACTCCCCCCCCGACTATTCAACTGCTTTTGGCAGTTAAAAAGCTCTTCATGTATTTATTCTTGTGCCTTTCCTATGTTAAAGGGATTATCCAATAAACACAATTTTTGCTCATTTGTTTTTGTTTTTAAGACCCTTTTTCTCTGCCACTCCCTGGGAGGTCTCTCAAATGTCAGCCAGCACATTTTAAATGTTTGCTTTACAAAGTACAGGCGAAATTTTTATTATTATTATTAATAAAACATTATTTTATCTGAAGACCTGACTTTGAGGCTTAAAACAACTTGAGAAAGGAAAGTGAGATCTCGCAATCTGTAAGACTCATTATCAGGAGCTGGAGACAGATAGGACCCATGGTTTGGACGTGAAGTCTGGAGTCTGGTTGTCAAATCTGTTCTCTGCCAGACTGGCAAGATAAACAGGCCTCGTGCTGTAGGGGAATCAGAAGAGTTCCAGACTTCTTGGTAACCTGATAGCTGTGTCCCATCTTCCTTACGAAAGCCACATTCTGTATTTGCTTATGAGTTCAGCTTTTGATTATTGACAATGACATTGTCAATTTGGGTGGCCTTTAGGTCTTGAGTGGATTCATTTGCTAGGAGAGTTCTGAGTTACCATTCCAAAAACCATGCACTGGCTTTCATAGTAACCTAGATGTACTATATTTAAGGATGAAATTTAGTCACTTTTTAAATCCTGTGAAAAAAGTCTATAGGTTCCAAAATAAATAAAAATGGTTTAGAATTGATTAGACCGCTGTTACTTTTCTGCAGGATGATCAAATGTTAAATAGAGAATTATAGTATTAATTAAGCAAAGAAATTTAAAAGTAGTATGGCATTGGTATGGGTTTCACACATTGTCTTGCTTATTAAACCGAAAGTCACTGAAACATGAAGGTTCCCACACATTAAAAGTAAACCGTAATGTTCTGTTCCCTTGTCTGGATGCTGGTAACACAGGTCTGTTTATTATGTGAAAATTAATCAAGGTGCACATTTATGATGCATGCATGCTTCTGTGCAGACCTTTCTAGAAGTCTTTAAAAATCAAAGGGCAGCCGGGCTCAGTGGCTCAGCCTGTAATCCTGCGCCTTTGGGAGGCTGAGGTAAGTGGATTGCCTGAGCCCGCGGGTTCGAGACACGCCTGAGCAGCAAGACCTCATCTCTACAATAAATCAAAAAATCAGCCGGGTGTGGTAGCGCATGCCTGTAATTCCGGCTACTCAGAAGGCGGAGGCGGAAGGATCGCCGGAGCCCAGCAGGTCAAGGCTGCGGTGGCTGGGAGCGGCCACTGCACTCCAGTCTGGGCGACAGAGTGAGACTCCAACTCAAAAACAAAAAAATAAGTAAAAAACAAAAAAAAAATCAAAGGGCAGTGCAGGACATAGCGGTTTGACAGCATCCAATGTCCAAAAGTTCTGCTTGAATTTAATAGTCTCACAGAGTTTCAGTCAGACACCCACCCCACCCTTCGAGGCCACATGGTCCCATTCCTTAGAACTATTCAGAATAGAGTAAACTCACCAGCCACTGTGGACCACCCTGCTCCACGCCACTCCCTGGAAGTCCTTTATGACTTGAGAGATTGACAGAGCAACCCAGGTCGACAAGAAGCTGGGATTCTATTGATCACTCCCATTCCTAACAGGAGTTGTAAAAGGTTCACTAATTAGACAGGAAGCATGTGAAAAAACTGGAAGAGGCTTTGAAGAAAGACGAGGCTTTCACCCAGGTTTAAGACTAAAATGACAGGTTCTTGCACCACATTCACGCTAAACGGAGTGCACATATTTCTCTCCACACATGCATGTACAAGCCAAGGATTTCCTGCATAAACCCTGGCGATGTGACCAGAACCCTGTCATTCCTGTGTGGACATATGGCCGCAGGACATGAGTGTGGAGCTGCTCTGTTCTTTTCCCAGAGTGTATAATTCACTGTCCCCCAAGTGGAAGCCACATCCCACGGTTCTAACATTGTGAAAACACCGATTAGTGTGGATATAAATTTTGCTCTGTGAGGAGCACTGGAGGCAGCTCAGATCTGACAAAAAGAATTTAAAATGCTTGCTCTCCTCATTCGAGGGCGGTGACACCCCAAGCAAGCTTCATAGAGAAGCAGCACCTGTTTCTGAGAGCCGGCACCCAGAGCTTCCTTTCTCAAATCCTCAGAGGTTCCGCATGTCTGTGCAACTTGGCAATCTCGGAGATGAGAGGAGGCGGCCTTTGCAACTCAGGGTCACACAGCCTACCCACTGACTTCGGGCACAAAGATAAGTTGTTAAAAATACCTCTACAGTTAGTTTAGTATTCAGGCATTCATTCACTGAGCAAAGTTATAAGATGAATGCAATCCACTGACATAGGGCTCAACATCGTTCCATCAGCCTAAAAATATACCGAACACTCCCTTGTCTTCCAGGCAAAACAGCAATGACAGTTTATTCCAAAGCCCTCAAGTAAAAATCACAAACACAGTAACTGGCCTTAATGATCTGCATTTCCTTCAGGGCTGGCAAGTCGAGGCTAGTAAATTAATGTGCCATTAGCATGTGTGTCTGGAAATGGGTGGCACTGGTGATTTGTATACAAACAGAAAACATCTTTACACATGAGAAATAATGACCATCCCTCTCTAAAGGCTAGAAACAGGGCCTCGGCTTCTACCCTGCTTAAATGGAGCAATATGGAGCAGGATTTGTGGTCCGCTCAGCCAATGACCTAACTACCCCAGTTCCCAAATGAACTAGTTGATTGGAGCGTCAGAATCAGCACACTTTTCATTTATTTCTGATGTATTTGATATGGGCTCCAGAAAGTTCCTTGATTTTAAAAAAAGTGTTCTAATTTTTTTCCTTATTTCTTTATAAGGCAGGTATTCTGTGTCCAGCTTATAAACGATTTTGAATTATTATGGTAGTTCAGGGGGGAAAAGTTAACTTTTCTGTTTTGCTAAATTCAACTTTTATGCCTGAACTGAAAACATTAAAATGACGAGAACTGTTAAGTTTCCTATGACACAACTTTAACCACGTCTCCTGAATCCCACCGATGCCGGGATCCTCTTTTCATGCATGAGGACAGCGAGGTGACATGTCCGTAAGTGGCCGTTAGCTGAGCATGAGAAGCCTGTTCCTACCCAGCTGCACAACTCAGCTCAGCTCTCAACAACCTGCTAGCTGGAATCAGAAATGTCGTCTTAATTTTTTATCATCATAGTCAGAAAAAAAAAGTTACAAGCAGGCAGTGAGTTACTAAAAAGGACTATCTAGGATTTCAAATCTTAGGCACAGAGGTGGAAAAAGAAAAGACACAAATATTTTTATATATACATACATCAGCTTATGACACTTTCTAGTTTAAAAAGACGAAGAGATCTTAAGTTTTAAAAGTCAAGAGTTCTAAACAGCTGCCCAGATGTTCCATGTAAGCTTGTCAATCATTCTGAATTAAAGTGTAATTTATTCTATAATCATTTTTTAAAGCATTATATTTCACCTTTTTTTCCTTTATATATGTAACACTGTGTTATTATACAATTTCCTTACCATGATTCCTTGGCACCTGCAAAGTCTGCAAGACAACTACTGTGAATTCTTAATAAACAATGTTTGTTAACAACGTAAAAAAGAAAAAAGAAGAAAAGATCAAATTAGGACTATTTTTAAAATCAGTACTTAAAGAAACAGTAAGAGCTACCAGTTTAGAGCAGGTAACTGACACTGGGCATTAACAACAAGTCGTTTTCCACTGGTTTCACCATTACACCTGTATCTTTTACCTTGTTTATAAGATGCCAGAACCATATTCTCATCTTCAACTTCAAACACTGTGTCCACGTCTATTTGCCTCTGGATTAAAATCGCCTTTAGTTTCCCAAAGTCGTTCAATTTCAGAGCCTCCAGGAAATTTTTCTTGGCTAACCTGGCGGCTCCAGATGTGGTGGCAGGGGCCATGGTGCCATCCATGCTTCCCCTCGTCTGGAGGTTTTGTTGTGACTTCTCGGGAGAGTCGCACCCAGCAAGCAAGGCTGGAGTGGCCACAACCCGTCAGCTAATTTTATCCCAAAGTTATGCTGGTCCGTTCTATTTATACAGGGATCATTTCAAACTTCAAAATATCCTGCCTGGTTGCCACTGTCTCTTGGGTCCTCTACACTGGTTCCGTTTTAACTAACTCGATCACTGATACACAATGTTGGTGTGAGGGAAAGCTTCTGCGATACATTTCTGGGCAGGAAATGTCACAATTATCTCTTAGATGAGCAAAATAGTAACGTAAGATTTAAAAGCTTTCAGTGCTCTTTCTTTTTCCTCAGTAAAAACATCTGGTGCCTGACTGGATATCCAGTGTCTCGGTTTGACTAACCCATTGCCAAAAATGAGAATATGCTGTAGCTGTTGATATATGTGTTTCTGGAAAACTCCAATAATTTTGTAATACGAATCTGTAAAATCAAGCATGGTAGTACACATTTGAAAACAAACAGAAGGTTTCCATGAGATCTAGACTTGAAAAAATGTCAGTATCATGAAAAAATGCAGTGGGGAGGAGACCTTTAGGTAAAAAGAGACTGAAGAGACAAAACAGCTCAGTGCAATGTGTGAATGAACTTTACTAAATTTTGTATTTTCCCAAAAACCAGTTGATAAAGACTTTCTTGGAACAATTGTAGAGCTATTTAATATGGACCAGACATTACTTGAAACTATAGAATTGTTAATTTTTAAGGTACGATAAAGATATTGTTATGTGGAAGGATATTTTTATCCTTAAGTGAATATGCAAGCGTCCATTATGTGATTCTTTCATATTTTCTGTACGTTTGATATTTTTCAAAACAAAAGTTGGAGCGAAAAATATATACTCACTATTTTTGCTTAAAATTGATAGAAATTAGGAAAATGATGATAACAAGTACTAAAGAGAATGCAAGTGAATCGCATTTTTATATAATGTTGGTAGAAGTAAAAACTGGCTTGAACGTTCTGCAGAATAATTAGCAACATACATTTTTTTAAAATTTTTAATGATACTACTATTTGATTCTTAGAATTTACCTAAGTGTGAAAACATGGTTGTAAATCGCAAGACAAATTCTATTTTACTTTACTGATGTTGGCATGAATACAAGAAAACAAGTCATCCATACACCACCTTTCAAATTTCCACAAAGTAAATAACTCGTGGAGCCCACACTGAGGTCGAATCACAGCCAAGTTCAGACTGGCCTGATGTCCCTTCACTCCCTCTCCCAAACAAACACTTCAACCTCCATGACATTACTTTGACTTCTAAGACTGTAGATTAGCTTTTGCTTGTGTTAATTTTTTTATTTTTAATGCTTAAAATTTGGGGTCAATTTTTAAAATTTTTAAATCATACAATTAAAAAAAAATAGTAACAACAGGCTGGGCATGGTGGCTCATGCCTGTAATCCCAGCACTTTGGGAGGCAGAGGCAGGAGGATCACTTGAGATCAGGTATTCAAGACCAGCCTAGGCAACAATAAGACTTTGCCTCTACAAAAAAATAAAAAAATTAGCCAGGTGTGGTGGTGCATGTCTGTAGTCTCAGCTACTTGGGAGGTTGAGGAAGGAGGAGTGTCTGAGCCCGAGAGGTCAAGCCCATGGGGTGAGCCCTGATTGTGCCATTGCACTCCAGCCTGTGCGACAGAGTGGGATCCTGACTCAAAAAAAAAAAAATACTAGTATTTAACAACTGGTATGGATTAGAAGAGGTTTTTGCCATAAATTACCAGTATGGCCAGACCATGTGTATCAAGGTGTCTACCGGGCAGGGTTACGTGCAGTGTACATGACTTCATGGTGGCCAGGGGTCCTCAGATGGCCTCATGGTCCTTGGGACCCTGGCTGATCTCCATGGCAGAGTGGCTCCTCACTAAGTGGGTCCTCCCTGCTGTATTCCAGCTCCCAACACCACCTGAAAACAGGAGCCTGGTCACGTGCTTCCATTGCGACGTCCCCAAACACAGTAGTCACTAGGTTGTGCTAATCAGAGCATCTGGAAAGTACCCTTCTCTGGGGACCTCAGGCACAGGGTGTGAGGCCTCAGTAGCCATCCACTGCCACCTTCCTGTCATCTTCTTGGGACTAGAATGGATGTGACCAAAGCTGGGGACAGGAGTGCTCCCGGGGTCCTCTTCCTCTATGATGCTAAGCCTCTGGCCTCAGTGCCCTTGGACTTCCTTGGGCGAATCTGGGGGTTCCCAGACCACTCTCACCTCTCCAGAGCTGCACCCTGAAAGTATGTGTGAGGAGGGATGAGAACAGGGCATCCAGTCCCTGCGTCAACCTGTACCTCCTTTGAGCCACCGCGACCACCATCCTCCTGGCTAGGGGTCCAGCTGGACTGCTTGTCTCTTCTTTCACTTTCCTCTTCCCTGTTGGTCTCCCTCCATGGGTGGGAGGGTTATCATCCCTGCACTGAGGAAGAAACCCTGTGACTTGAGCACTCCAGGCATGGGCCCCGTATCTAAATAAGGAGTTGTAAGTTCCTGTCATGCTATGATAAGAGAAAAAAATAAAAATAAAAGAGATTAGCTGGGCATGATAGTGTGTGCCTGTAGTTCCAGCTACTCGGAAGACTGAGGCAGAAAGATCACCTGAGCCCAGCAGGTCGAGACTGCAGTGACCGTGAGCATGCCACTGAACTCCAGCCTGGGTGATGGAGTGAGACTCCAACTCGAAAGAAAGATAGAGAGAAAGAAAGAAAGAGAGAGAGAGAGAGGAAGGAAGGAAGGAAGGAAGGAAGGAAGGAAGGAAGGAAGGAAGGAAGGAAGGAAGGAAGGAGAATATAAAATAGTTTAGAAAAATCCTCATTTCTGAATGACTGTATTGCACAACTATTGTCTTCCTACAAGTCAGCACTGAGACTTAAACTGATGGATGAGTGACCCGTTTATCCTAGGGGATCCCACACTTTTTTTGTCCTGGAGGCTCCCTCACTTTTTTCCCTAGGTTGATGAACCTCAGGACTTGGCCCTGAAAGCTAAAGATTGCAAGGAACATGAGCTAAAGATGAAATGTATGTAAGTATATATGTATGCATGCATGTATGTATTATGCTTATATGTGAGTATACGTGCATGTATGTGTGCACACATGCAAGTATGCATGTATGCATGCATGTAGGTATATATGTAAGTATGTATGTATGTATGAATTTTTTTAGAGACTGTGTCTTGCTCTGTTGCCCAGGATGGAGTGTAGTGTGTGTTCATAGCTCACTGCAGCCTTGAACTCCTAGGCTCAAGCAATCCTCCTGCCTTAACTTCCCCCGTAGCTAAAACTACAGGCACAAGACACCATACCCAGCTAATTTAATGTTTTTATTTTTTGTAGAGACAGGGTCTCACTATGTTACCCAGGTTGATCTCAAATACCTGGCCTCAAGCGGTCCTCCTGCTTCAGCCTCCCAAGGGCTGAGATTACAGGGATGAGCCATGTCTCAGTGTCTCCCTTTACAGGGAGAGGAGGTCAGAATGACTGGGTGAACATGAGGCATCGCTGAGCACTGGCCCACCTGAATTTTGACAGGCTTGGCACTGACTGTTGTCTTTGACTGTGAAAGACAAGGCTTCTCAAGACAGCCATCCCTGCCTTGGGGGACATCACGCTGTGCTCTGGGTCTTCTAGCAATGCCCTGCATATGCAGGCCTGCCCAGGTCCACACCACGCCAGCCCACGGGCCGCCCGCACCCTGTGATACACTCCACAGCATCCATTCAGGCAATCACAGCCTGTAATTCTGTCTCCCAATTGTGCGCGGCAGCATTTGCACCCTCTTTTCATTTCTGACACATTGATGAAGCAGAAGGTGTCATTAGAGATGAAAACTGCCCTTCCCTTTTAGGCTGGAGGAAGAGGTCAGGCTCGTCCTCCGAATCATCTTTCCTAACATTCCTGAACGTCCTCAGAACTTACTGCTGTCAGAAACCAGTGAGCTGTCTGCCCATTGCAAAGATTCATCACCTTTATTTTGTGTTGTGAAAATGTCTAATGCATGGACTCTGCTGGAGCTGGAGCTATTCTGAAAATGACACATAATCTCTGGGCCTCATGGAGAACATTTTGCACAATGAATCAGGCAGGCAACGGGCGATGGGGACGGAGGAGGTGGTGGAGAGAAAGAGGGTGTGTGTTTTCAGGAAAATAACCTACCCAAAGAGAAACAGCCTTCTTGCCTTTTAAAGAACTTGCTTGTTTGTCGAGTAGAATCAGAGACCTATAGCTGAAAGCCAGTTCCTCCTCAAGGGCATCGAGTCTGCTCCCTTGGGAAGGCAGGTCCTGAGGTCACATCGCCCGAGGGCATGCTCAGAACTGCAGGGACGATGAGTGGCCTCACAGAGCTCCCGGGGAGTGCCAGGTGTCCTGGACCATGTGGGCAAACTTGTGTGTCCCTGAGGAAGGCATTCCACTCTTCTTAAAGGGGGCACATGTGTGAAAGCTTTACGGATTTATAAAACGAGCGGTGACAATGATTATTTTATATGTCGTGCTTTGGATGTGACAAGTGTGTTGCCCAGTAATTCAAAAGCTGACACAGGTTTGATCCCTCAGTGACTTTTTTCAGGACGGAATCAACAGATACAGCTTCACACGACAGGCACGTGTAAAAGCCACAGGAAAGATTTTTCTGGCGAGAGCACCATCAGAGCCGCGTACGGAGTCTTCGGGCGCTGTTCCCGCTTCCAGCCACATGATGGCACTGTTCCTCGACAAATGAATCGGGGAGAAAACAGCTGCAGGGTCCCGGGAAGAAAAAACATCCAAGGCAGGTACAAAGTGATCCAGATTAAATCACAAATATGAATCTAAGGAGGGGGGTGTTGATCTGTGTAAGCCATGTCTCACCTGATCACACTTCTCCCCAGTGAATGTCTCTGTCAAGAGCTCACCATGGGTATGACCCTCAGGACGTGTCCCCCAAACATACAAGTGATTTCAGTGTTGTTGCGGGGGGGAGG